TACAACAAAGGTGATAGAACGAAGCACATCTTTCCAAAGTTCTTCTTCACCCACGATTTACAGAAAGCCGGCGAGGTCCAAGTGCTACAAGTCCGTTCAAGTGACAATCTAGCAGACCTATTCACCAAGTCACTTCCAACCTTAACGTTCAAGAAGCTCACGCATCAGATTGGAATGCGTCGACTTAAAGACCTTCAATGAGGTAAAAAAAACAAAGGAGTAATACGTGGTGTACTCTTTTTCCTTATCCATGGTTTTACCCGGTTTTATCCCATTGGGTTTTGGGTTTTTCCTGGAAAGTTTTTAATGAGGCAACATCCAAAGCATATTACATGTTTATGACATCCAAGGGGGAGTATTATAAACCATATTGTAGATTGTCATAACCAGAACCTGAACTGGAACCAGAACCAGAACCGGACCGGACCGGCCTATTAGAGGTTCTAGATCTGCTAGTATTCCTAATCCTTATTAGATTAGGATTGGGTGTTTTTCCTATTTAATGTTGTAATCCATTAGGTTTTATACTATTTTTTTTTCATAGTTGATTTAGATTTTTATTTTTCTAAAATCTTGTAACTCTCTATATAAGGAACTTTATGTTTTGTTAATGAAATAAACTCAAGCATTCCCCATATTTGACAACAAAATTAGTGTAATAGGAGTTCCACTTTCTTGCAACAGAAAATGTATTCCACTTTCACTGCTTTTAACAGAAATAACAATCCAAATAGGATTATAATGTCAACTTGGTAAAGATTAGTAATCATTTTAATGGTACAAACGAATTGTTTGAATTTAATTGCTAAATCGGAAATTAATAGTATATTTTCATAAAATATCAAAACTACGATAATTATCCTAATATATATCAAACAAACAGAAAAAAAAATACATATATATATATATGATCTTAATCTTTCCTGACATCAGTTGACCAAAATTACATACTTTTCACAAAAATTAACTATAGAGATTTTGAACTATTTATTTGTATAACTATTCACTTCAATTTTAATAATAAACTAGGCTTTAACCTACGCAACCACGTGAATGGTTGATTTTATTTATATATATATATATATATATATATATATTGTTTCATAATTAATGGTATATATTTTTAACAATTATATATTTAAATGTTTATATAACTCTTTCAAATACAATAATTTTATTTCAATTCAATCATATCTATCGTCACTTATTATCATATATTTATCTTATTTGATTGCATTTGATTATTAAACGAATCAATATATGCATAAAATATCATGTTTGAAAATAATTTGTCTTAACTTTATGCTAAATTTTTATATGTGCTTCAAAACTTTGGATTATCTTTTAGGAAACATTTCTGATTTTTAGATAACATATTGTTGGTATATAAGAGTTTAAATTGTTAATTTGTATACATGTAATATATAGTAGTATGCCAACCCGTTTACGAAATTATTATATTCTTTTAACATGAATATCTATATATTTATAAATAAAATATAATAATGTACCAATTTAATATAATTTTATCATATTTAGGTCAGTATAATAATTATTTTAAATTATATATTATGATTATAAAATAAAGAAAAGATAACTGAATATATATTAATTGATAATCATATTTTGTTATTAATTAAAAAAATCAGCCCATGAATCTTGTTAAATTTTTATTCAAAAGATTTGTTATTAATTGATCTTGTTAAATTTTTATTCAACAGATTTGTTAGAAACTTTTTTTAAATATATATATTATATATATATATATATAAATATCAAAATTTATTATAATTAAAATAGTCACACATATTTTATATCATTAGTCTTAATATATGATTAAAATATGATATTTGTTCATTTTATAATGAATAATTAAAATATAGGACTAGGTAATAATATTTTATTATTAATTAGAAAATTATTGAAAATGTTTATATAATTGTTTTAAAATTGAGATCTTGTTAAACTCTTTTTTAACAATTTTTTATAATTTTTAAAATATGTATACTTATATTTAAAATGAAAAAATATCAAAATATATTATGATTAAAATAATTATACATATATTATTATTAGTTGTAATGACGAAACATCTTTATATATAAAGTAGAGTTTATTCATTCTAGAATGTGCCACCTCATTACTTAATGAAAGGAGAGAATGACATGTGGCGATTTGTCTAAGACATAAACATTCTACGCGTTTAAACATTAAGCTATAACTTTCTGTATGGGCCAAAACATTTCCTAATAAAGCCAATCCTCTATTGAATCCACCCACCAACCATAACTTTGTGTGAAGATGATATCGTTATCGTCAATCCAACCATGTACAGAGCATCATCCAATGGCAAGACACGAAGAAGCCATTAAACTCAACTCGGCTCCTGCTTTACATCCAACGATCAGAGAAGCTTAGATGAAGGTGAGCCATAAGATTGTCGGGATACAAGAATACTCGACTCAATCTTGGAGGCGAAATGACGAGAATTATAAGTGGTCTAACTGTGATGTTAGAGAAGCGGCGTGGTTTATGTACTGGAAAGAAGCGGTGGAGGAATAAATTTGTAAAGAGTGAGGCGGTGTGAGATTGAGCTATGAGATGGAGCTAGGTTTATATTTCCTTTTTTTTTTTTTTGTAAAAGTCTAGGTTTATATTTTTTTGGTTTATTTTCTACTTTAAATCAGCATGTGTTCGTTAAATTTAGTAATGATGTTCTGTAAGTATGTAAACAGACGATGTGTCGTCCCCACCATGAAAACGTCACATCGTATATTGTTTTCCAGAGATCGATTTGTGAAGCTACTATTTGTGTAGCATTATCTCGGTAACTAACGCCCAATTATAGGGCTGGGCATTTTATCCGTTATATTTGATTCGATTCGTTATTCGTTTCGATTCGATCCGAAAATTCCGGATATCCGTAAACTTTCGAATCAAAGCAAATACTAAAATTCAATATCCGTCAAAATCGAAGCAAATCACAAATATTAAAATTTTGGGAAGCGGATATCCGATCCGATCCGGAAATATATAAATATATGTATATCTTGATTATATTTAAAATATTAAATGTATAAAATTATATAATTTTTATTCTAGCACATGATTTAAACAATTCTATTCACATTATTACTTATATAAAAGTATTACATAAAAGAAATAAAAAAAAATATGACAATTATATTTTCTTTTTCTTAAATTTTGTGTTATTATAATTGTACCTTAAACTTAAAAAAATTACAAAATATGTAAATTCACTAGTTTTTAATTTTTATATGATGCAAACAAATATTTTTGCAAAACAAATTTGTATCAAAATCTTAAGATTATTTGTATTAATCAAAATGGATGAGATATCCGTAAATATTCGTAAATATTCGCAAATATCTATTTATTTTTCGGATATTCGTTTTTCCGGATATCCGTATTTTTTCGAAGCAAAGCAAATACCAAAACTAGATATCCGTAACATTCGAAGCAAATCACAAATACCTTAAAAAACCCGGATATCCGATCCGTGCCCACCCCTACGCCCAAATATAGTTACTAATATCTTTTTTTTTTGAACAAAGTTACTAATATCTTTTTAAATGAAATAATAATAAAACACATAATGTGTCTTCAAACCGGTACACAATTTTATAACTTTAGACTTCAAGATCTATAAACTTATAAGTGTTTCCAGCATGTTATTTTCAAGTCCAAATAATGAAAAAAGTAATAATACAGTCTCCAATACAAAAGTACACTGCAAACCAATATATTTTCGTTTAACGATGAAAATACTAATTCCAAACAATGAAAGAAAAGTCAATAGATGTCAAAAAAAATGAAGGAAAGTTAATAAAAAAACAACATAAATAAAAGGTTTACAATAAAGTAGGACTAAGTTAAATATCTGTATTCGTAACCAAACATAAAACAAGCCGAACCTGAAGTATTAAGCCCGACATGAACCAGGGTATTTATTTAATTTTAACAATTAATTTTATTTCTTATATTTATAAAATAAGCTATTTAAAAGTACTCAAAATCATCTAAAATACTTTAAAATATTTTAAAACAGCCAAATGAATATTCAACACAATACAAAATACTTACAATAAAAAATAGATTTTCATATCAGTTGTAGCTATTTATTCATATATTACCTAATTTAGTTTTGAATTTTGAAGATCTTAAAGTTTTTTTAGATTATCAAATAAAATATACATAATTTTAAAGAATACATGCAAAGATTTTAACACAATCTGAATCAAAACTAACAAATATCGAAATAAAACTTAAATATGTAAAATCAAAAACTCGAAACTCCAATCTACGCAACTGAACTTGACCGGCTGTAGAAATATCTACTGCTACATTAGACATAAAACATATCAAGACAATAGTTCACATTGTTTAACAACTCCTTAAACTATAAATCAACATCATATTTTTATAGTCACAACTATGAAAATATATGTAGCAATATTATAATTCTAAATAATTGTTAATAATAAAAATAATTGTAAAAAATAAAATAAATAGCAGGAAAAAATATAAAATATTAAAAATAATGTAAAATCAAAAACTCGAAACTCTAATATACGCAAACTTAACTCGACCGGCTGCAGAAATATTTACTACTACATTAAACTTAAAACATAACAAGACAATAATTCACATTGTTTAACAACTATTAAAACTATAAATCAACATCATATTTTTATAGTCACAACTATGAAATCATATGTAGCAATAATATAATTCTAAATAATTATCAATAATAAAAATAATGGTTAAAAATAAAACAAATAGCAGGAAAAATATGAAATGTTAAAAATAATTTTGGACAATTATTAAATAATTGTAAACAATATAAATTTTCCACAGTAGAAAATATATCTAAAATAACAATATATTATAAATAAAAAATATGCAATGAATATTAATACCACCTTAAATTTAAAGTACACTAAATATTTTAAAATATCCGTTAAATAATAATATTTTATGTAAAGCTTTGGCAAACCCTAGTATTTATAAATGTTTAATAGAAAGTCCAACTTAAAAAATTAAAAATAAATTGAGATTGTGACTTGTATTTAAATAGAAAAGATTCGATGATAAAAATAAATTACAGATATAAGGTAAGTAGCTTTACGAATTACAATCAAGCTTCAAACTAGAGAAATATGAAACACTCTAACGAAACCAGCGGGTTCTCTAATAACTCTTCAGTGGTATAACCGTAGTTTTGATACTGTTGCTGATCCGACGCGTTTTTATTTGGATCATCTAACCTAACCCGACCCGGAGACTGGCTATTCTTCCGAGTCCTTGCCCCACCCACCCGACTCTGATTCGAATCCATCACGGATCTATTCATCGCCGGTGATCTCGACCTTCTTCCGGATCTCTCACCCGGGTCTCTTGTACCCGACCCGACTCTCGCTCCAGTATTACACGCTCCGTTGTTTCTCTTACGAGGAGACTGATCGGTTCTTCGGGTCGGATAATTATTACCCGTGATCCGGGTCCGAGTTTTAGCAGGAGATCTCTGAGATTTCCTCTGCTTCACTTCTGCCTCAGCCTCACCGTACCCATTCATCACAGCCATTGAAGAAACACTCTCGCTCAAGCTCAAGCTACATACCTCTGATACCTCCGATCCTTCTTCAGGGTCAACTGAACCGGGTCGGGTCATTCCGGAGTCCGGAGCAACTTTGAGTTTCTCCTCCTCTGTTCCCCGGATCTTCCTGTTCACCGGATCATCCATGGCTGAGTGTTGGACATTAGAGGAAGTAGTGTGAAATGATGTCTCTGACAAGACTTCTTTGACGACCGTTTCTTCTTCGACAATGGTCGTGTTCTGGTCGGACACGTTCTCGTTGGTCCAATCGGCGGTGCCTGAGCTGACGCAGCAACCCATGTGAGAGAGAGAGGGAGAGAGAAGACAATGTCGCTGATAGAGAGTAGTACCACTCTTTTGGTTGTGAGTTGACAGCAGAGGGATGATTGTGAAATGAGAGAACGTGAAAGAGTATTTATTGTTAATATTTTGGGACAGTTGAAAAAAATTATGAGTTAAAAATAATAATACCAACTACCCTAAAGTAGCTTTAATTTATAATGATTCGATGGTAATGGTGAATAAGCCCCATGCAGAATTCAATTTCGTGAATCATGATTATAATTACGTTACTAAAGTTATGTTAACTTTCCAGAAAAGCGAAGTGAATTTTTCGGTGAGATCCATTTACATCATTTGAAAATTTGACTACTTCAAAAAACTTCTTAAAATAGTGTAGATAGTGCACACAAAAAAATAGTGTAGATAAAAGTTCGAGAAAAAATTGACGTCGTTAAAAAGATTATATATAAAAATCTAAAGATATATTTTCTCGTAACATGACAAGGTTTCAGATCTATATAACCACAAAAATGATATATCTCCCTTTTACAATATCATGGAACTTTACATTTTTTTGTCAACATTTTTAAGCTTCAGACAATAGTTATATTAGTTTATAGATGATACTAACTAAGCTGTGTAAAAACAGATGGTAATTTAGTTATGTAACAATAGAATTCATGAAATCCAAATAGCTGACACGCACACCCGCTTGAAACTTACAGAGAACCTGATTTTAATAATAGAACGTTAAGAAAACAATTATAATTATTAAGGTTAGAGACAAAAGTTTATGTCAGAGATCTAAGATCGTACTATAATTTATAGCATAAGACGAATCTAACGACCATAAACATGTGTTACCACATCTGTCTACTTTAAACAATATAATGCTTATTGGGTTCGGGCTTAAAGATTGAGCAGGCCGACAGTAACAAATTCCCCTATACTTAGGCCTCGATTGGTATAGCAGATGATAAAGCAGTAGCAGTATACTGCAGAAGCGGTATGCTACAGAAGCTGTATGCTTTCAATAAAGTTTTTAATAAAATGATTGACAGAGCATTAGCAGTATATGATTTTAAAATTGTCATAATAGTTAGTAAAATAATATATTACTTTTAAAATAATATATATATATATATTAATATATAATTTTATTAAAAACAATGAATTTTCATTATATAATTATATTTAAAATTTAAAGTTTTTTAAAAAATATTAAATTATTTTTGGATATAACATATTTCTCATACATAAATTATAGTTATAATTTAATTAATTATTCTTAAATTATAATTATTATTAAATAAATAAATAAATAAATAAATTATATTTTATATATAAATTAATTATAATTTTTATATAAATTATTATTTATTTATTTATTGGTAGAGCACTAAATTACTCATATATAAAATTATCATAAAAGTTAATAATATAATTTATTTGTTAGTGTCTAAATAATATGTTTATATCGATAATATATAAATTATATTATGTTATGTTAGTAAAAATAATGAATGATATATCTAATTTTATAAATTATATTATCTTTTAAATGTGAAATATTGTTCTTTTCAAAAAATATTATAATTTTTATTTTTATTTTTGAAAATATAAATTTATATTTAATTATAAAAATATTGTTTATATTTTTAAACTAAAATAAATTAATTATATGTAAATATTATTAAGTTTTATATTTTCTATATGCAAATGCTCTCCCAAAAGCTCTATATGAGAGCATTGAGCAAAGAGCATTTGAAGAGCATTTGCATCTGGTAAATGCTTTTCTAAATGCTTCTTTACAAAATGTTGATTGGATAATAGAGAGCATAATGCTTATGCTAATGCTCTACCAATCAACCCCTTAATATACTTAAGTTCACACCGACAATGAACACTTTCCCTCCCTTCAACTAATTTTCTTGTAATACGCATTATGAAACCAACAAAACTTAAAAGCTAGCAAATCTTCACGAATTTTGTACGAATTGCCAAAAGAAACATGAATTTTTGGACTAACAAAAAAGAAATACAAAAATTTCATTGACTTTAGAATTAATTAATAATATTTTCGTTGACTTGTCAATTTAGCACGCCGTCAACAAATTTAACAGAAAAAATTAACGTCAACGTCATTTTCAAATTAATTAATAATGTTTTCGTTGACTTGTCAATTTAGCATGCCGTCAGCAAATCTAACAGAAAAAATTAACGTCAACGTCGTTTTCAAATGAAATAAAACGAATAAAACGACGTCGTTTTGCATGATTTGAAAATAAAAAACAGGTAGGCCATCAGATTCGAACTCGGATTGTTTGGATCTAACAAACTGGTATTTTACCACTTGGCTAGCGATACTTTCAATGTAATTACCAACATATTTAATTTTATATTGTACTGATTGATTATAAACAATTATTTAAAAACTTTAAAAAATCTTTAAAATTCCAAAAAATTGAAGAAATAAAGAAATTTTTATATAAATTATTTTTTTATAAAAATACTTTTTTCTAAAATTAATTTTGAAATTAAAATCAAAAATAAAATTTTATTTTTTCTTTAAAAAATCAAAAGTCTTCCAAAATTTTCAATTTTATTAAAAAAATTGCTAAAATTTAAATTAATTATACACATAAAAAGATACCCACATATTAAAATTAAATTAAATGTTTAAAATAAATATTATACCCATTTTTGCATTTTATTTGTATTTTTAACTTTTTGAATTTTTTTTAAAAAATGAAAGTTTTGGTAGATTTTTGATTTTTTAGAAAAAATAAAATTTTATTTTAATTTAATTTCAAGCTTAATTTTATAAAAAAAAATTATTTTCCATTTTTTGGAATTTAAAGATCTTTTTAAGTTTTTAGAGATTTTTTTTATATCGAATCAGTACTAAATAAAATTAAATGTGTTTGTAATTCTATTGATAGTGACATTATCCTAGTGGTAATATAGCATGCCATTTATTCCAAACAACACGAGTTCGAATCCAGGGGTTTATATGTTTTTATTTCCAAATCATGTAAACGACGTTGTTTTATCTCATATGAAAACGACATCGTTTCACTTAACGACAACATTTAACACTGTTTTAACGGTGGGTTCACGGTGTGCTAATATGGTCAGTCAATCGTAAGTTGCTTAATAAATTTAAAAAATCAACAAAAGTATATGTTTTTTTTTACCATGCTCGAGTACAGATTTTTTCTGGCAATTCGTGTAAAATTCGTGCTTTTTTTTTTGTCGAATTCTCATACATATATACTCAAGTCAAGCTTTTGAAGTTTGGTTCCTCTAGTTATATCTACGAAGAGATAATAATAACAACCTCCTCTAATATATTATTTTTAACCTCGTCTAATCTAGACAAATAAGCTAACATAATCGAAACAAAACATTTAATAAAGCAAATCTCAAATTGTTAACATTCTCATTCTGGAATGGAGTTTAGCTGGAACTTTGAGTGTTGGAATTTCTGTCTGCAGGTGCAGTTACTGGTGCATGGTGAGCAATAAATGTAGGTACATTGTCTCCTGGCATTAGCACTGTGACCCCTTTGAGTACACACCTAACTGCAAATCGATATAATCCCTCATAAGATTAGGTTCCAAATCAAATAATTTGTTATCCAAACTGTTTCTTTGACAATACAAGAACAGATCTAAACCTCAGTCTCGTGATGGAAAAAAATGAAATGTATAAGGTTCCTAAAATCAGAATTTGATGTTTACAGAGTCATATAGTTTTCTTGAACTGAAAAAGCTTCACATCTGAAGTGTCCCTCTCCCATGTTTTGAGTGACTCTAATTCTGATCACATGGTAGGCTCCTTATGAAAAAAATATATAAATCTTCTGCCCCCATATGACTATTCCTAATCCAGACCAAGGCCATATTCGTTTTTATATTTGATGCAACATCTAGTGTAGCATTTGATTACAACATCTAGATATTGCCTCCAAATGTTGTTCGTTTTTATAGTTAGCATTTACTTTCAAATGCAATACCTAGATACTAAGTTGTTCGTTTTTTATTTTATAATATCATTTAAATACTAATAGTTTAAAATAGTAAAAAAGGATGTTTTTGTTCTTAACAATGAACTGATTATATCATTCAAACAGCTAAAACTAATTTTGCATTTTTGTGGAAACACAACTTTGTGGGTTTTGATGGGAAACTTCATTTTAGAATTTGGCAGAAAGCACACAATTTGCAGTTTTGGCAAACTACGATTTAATGATATTTTCGATTTGATGGGAAAACGAGATTTTATGGTTTTGACAAAAAAACAAGATTTCTGGTTTTGGCGAGATTGCGCGAATTTCTAGTTGCGGTGCAAAAACGAGATTTTCCTATTTCGGCGAAAAACCACAATTTTTGTTTTGATATGAAAACACAGTTTTCGGTTTTGAACACAGTTCTTCGGTTTTGACAAGAAAATATGATTCTCCGGTTTTGACGAGAAAACATAATTATGTAGTTTTTATGGAGAAACACAATTTCTGATTTTGGCGAGACAATGTAATTTTACGGTTCCAACGCAAATTTTTGTGATTTTGGCAAGAAAATGTGATTTAGGGTTTTGGTGATAAAACACGATTATACATTTTTGTCAGAAAACAAGATTTTCCAGTTTTGACAAGCAAACAAGATTTTCTGGTTATAGCGATTTTTTAGTTTTGGCTTAAAATGAAATTTTTGATTTTTGTGAGAAAATGAGGTTTTTTTTTGTTTTGATAGAAAATGTAATTTTTGATTTTGAAGAGAAAATGCTTTTTTTTTTTTGGTGAGCAAACATGATTTACCGGTTTTGAAGGAAAAATGCAAATTTCCGGTTTGGTAAGAAAAAATATAAATTTTGGTTTGGATGAAATTTTTTTTTTATGGTTTGACGGAAAACACAATTTTCAGGTTTGGGCATGAAAAAAACACGTGATTTTTCTGTTCTGATGGGACAATATAATTTTCTAATTAAAAATATTACGTAACAATTATAATAATTAATTTAAATAATTTGATGTTTGTATTAAGGATATTTAAATATTTTAGATTTGAGATGCAATTATGCAAATCTAGCATTCAAACTAAACACTTTTTAGCATCTCAAACACTACAAGAAAACAAGTCTTTAGCGACTACAATATTGGTAGTAAATTG